ACTTAAGATCCGGTGATCGGAATGGGACAAGGGTAGATTTAAAAATGTTATAATATGCGGCCGTTAGACTATCCGGACCTGGAGGTTTGGCATTTGGTAAGGAGTCAATCTGGCAAATTTCCTCAGTCGTAAAAGGGGAGTTTAGTTTTTGGATAAAATTTCAGGAGGAACCTTGGGCAAATTGATCGCATTTAGAAAGCCAGCAATGTCCGATGTAGTGGATTGAGGGACAGTATGGTTGTCTTTAAGGTTATATAAAGATTGGTAATAGGCACTAAATTTATCGGCAATTTCTTGTGGATGGATGACTTTTTTTGCAAAAAAGGAATGTTTGTAAGAAGTCTGCGATCTTTAAACCCTTTTAGCCAAATACGTTCCTGCTTTATTAGCAGTGGAGCAGTAATGTAGTTTTAAGTCTTTGGGATTGCCGATCAAAATGTTCAAGAAGGCAAAGTCTCAAGTCATATCTAAGTTTTTTAAGTTGTGTAGCCAGTGTTGGGTGAGGATGGGGTTTGTTCCGAGCATCTAGTGCATCTATTTCCGAGGTTAAATCAGTGAGTTTTTGAAGTTTTTGTCTATTGTGTCTGAAGGTTAGTTGGATAAGAATGCTGCGGATGTAAGCCTTATGGGCGTTCCACAGGACAGAGGGATCCGAGACTGAGTCCTTATTAAAGGCAAAATATTAATTTAATTCCGCCTGAATTCTAGAAACATGGTCTTTTGTTTGGAGAAACAACGCTACACTTTTCCAAAGATGTTTAGTAGAGTGGTTGGGTAGTAACTTTAGAGAAATAGGGGTGTGGTCAGACCATGATATCAATTGAATACTAGCATTACCAGGCCGCTGAAGAAGGGGCAAACCAACCAAAAATAGGTCTATGCACGAGTAGGAATTATGCACCGAGGAGTAATAAGCGTAATCTTTTTCATTTGCATGAAAGCATCTCCATGCATCATATAGGCCTTCTCAAATAAAGAGAGACTGTAGTGAGGAAGAGGTGTCCCTAGCAGGGTTGGTGGAATCTATAGTACTATCAGGGACCAAGTTAAAGTCTCCACAAACTATCAAGGATCCCTTCTGGACTTTGGGTAAGGTAGTTTTAAATGTAGTTTTTAATGAACTTGTTGACTGGTCCGTCATGGATGGTGATAGATTTGTCTTGATCTTATTTTGTCTGTCTTACCTTATGCAACACTATGTAATGTTTCTTTTACCTTATCAATGGCTGTTAGATAACGTTTTATTACTTGGAATGTCAGGGGGCTGAACTCCAAACTCAAGGGGTCCTTGGTCTTTGATTATCTATTCAAATACAAGCCTCATATTGTGTGTCTTCAGGTGACACACTTGGTGGGCTCAAACATTTTGGTTTAAAAAAAAGCATTGGGTGGCTAAGACTTTTCATGCTTCATATTCCTCCTACTCCAGGGGTGTCTCTGTTCTGATTCTTGTGAGATCCTTCAGGTCAGGACGGACCCCTTGCGCAGATATGTTATTCTACACCTCAAAGTTTACTTTGCTCCTTTTGATGGTGGCTGCACTATATCTACCTCCCCATTCAGATACTGATATGTTAAGCATGATAGCCCTGGATGCCCTTACTATGCCTCCAGTCCCCTTGGGAGACTTTAATTGTGTACCAGACCCAATGATGGACCGCTTGGGGGGCGTTGGGCGACCCTGCACTTCCTTTAATGATTGGATGAATCGCTTCAATTTGGTGGATATTTGGCTCTGGAGGAAGGCCAGAAGCTGTACATCATTCTGCTACGGATGGCACACTCTCCAGAATAGACTTGGCCTTAGGCACCTCTGCAGTACTGAATAGGTTGACTGATGCTCGGTACCTTGACCTCTCTTATAGCTTCTAAAGATAAGTCTCCTTTTGGTACTGCCCGATTTATACGTTCCTATTGGTCTTCCTAATATGGATGTCCCGCTACCATTTTTTTCAAGACCAAGTACAAGTACTATCCCCTCAGGTACTTGCTGATACCAATTACCAATACTTTTTCTTTAAGGTACATGTGACATTTTTTTCTAATACAATACAGACTAATGATTTTAGGGCGGTTTCTATATAATTATTTAGAACGGTTACTCAATCCATGATTATTCAGCAATGGAGAATGGCAACCAGCAATAGAGGACTACAGATCCCATCAATCCATGATTATGCAGCAATTATACAGGGCTGTGTGGGTGCAGAGCTCTAGAGGTGGCTGCCAGGCTATCTAGATATCATATTATGCCTGATCTAGATGTCATATTAATTCTGTATCTATTTGTACATTGATTGCAACCTATGGAATTCAGCGTTGCCAACACAATTTAGCTGGATGCAAATGAGAGATGGGGAAAGGCTTTTTCACTGACTACGGTACCTGAAATAAGCTGATCACATCTAGACGGCAGGAAGAGATTGTAAAAATAAAGTCCAGGCACGTAGTGCATGATGGGTTCAGATGGCACAAAGTCAGGTCTAGCAGAGTTGGTAAAAAAATTGTGCAATCCGCACTTACAATGCCAGGATCTGATCATTGGCACAGTCCAGACAATGCAGAGATCTGATCGCTGGCACCATCCGTACAGTGCACAGAGATCTGATCTCTTGCAAATGCTGGGATCTGATTGCTGGCACAGCCCGGACAATACCGGGATCTGAGCATTGGCACAGCCCGGACAATACCGGGATCTAATCATTGGCACAGCCCAGACAATGCCAGGATCTGATCATTGGCACAGCCTGGACAATGCTGAATCTCATCTCTAGCACAGTGCTAGGTGTCTTTGTATGGGATCTCATGGCGTGCTCACTCACCCCGCAGGGCGTCCTCGGCTTCCAACTTCCATTAGACAGATCTAATGCGCACCATGCCCCGCCGTCTCCTCGTTGCTCTTTGCGTTGATGTCCTATAGTATGAGCTGTGCGTGGCGCCAGGCGAACTCCAGAGTGGACAGGCAGCAAAGCTGATCAGACTCACCTGGCCCCACTCTTCTCCTTCCTGTCTCAGTGAAGCTCCTACAGAGCCTGAGGATCGGGATGACGAATGAGCGCCACAAGAACATGCTCCAGCTGTGAAGTTCACGATGAAAGTAAGGCTGGGGCTCACATGGCCTCTATTAAGTCCTGTCCTCTGTGTTGTTTACCCGGGCCTCTCCTGTCCGACCACTGAGGAGCTCAGCGCGATGTCCCGGGGATGAAGGGATTAGGGCTGTACGGGCAGTGTGGGGCTGTCTCTTGCTGTGCCGGTCTCTGGGGGCAGCAGGAAGGAGGAATAGGAGATGTGGGGCTGGATCGCCACTGCAAAAGATAGCTGTTTGGGACCCAGCAGGTCCCAAGCAGGCTGCCTGAGGACCCCAGCAAGCGCAGGAGCTCAGGCAGCCGATCCAGTTAAAAAAATTTAAAGGGCCGGTATCATGGGCATTTTCACAAGTACAACGTTTTCGTGAAAATGCCCTGTATCGGCACTAATACTAGTATCAGTATCGGGACATTCCTACTACCTAATATATGTAACCCTTCGTTTTGCCTTCTAGGACTCCTGGGGGAGCTTGTGCTGAATTCTGGAGCTCAGCGTCTCCTCCGTATTCTCCTTTTTTTTATGCCAGGAAAGCTATTCTTTTAGGACTAGTTCACACCAGCCTCAGTGCTTTACGGCCCGATTGGAGTCAGAATGCATTGGATTGCATTCTGGCTGGTTCACTGTTTCGGAGCGAGAGGGGGCGTGGCACTGCATTGAAGTCAATGGCACCGCAGCAATGCCCCCCGGCCGCAGTGCGATCACCCGCACCGGAACGTGTGTCATTTCAGTGCCTGCGTTCCTGGTCCAGTGCAGTCAAAAAAATACCGTATGCACTAATTTTTTCTGACCACATCGGACCGGAACACAGGCATTCATGTGCCACGCATTCGGGTGTGGGCGATCGCTGCCCCAAAACAAAGTGAGCCGGCCAGAACGCACTGGGGCTGGTGTGAACTAGCCCTTAGTATGGGGCGGTCTGCCGGCACCTTCCTTGAGCTGTTGGAAAGGCATTGTTAATCGCTTCCCTTATATAAGATTACGTATGAGCAGAGGGGATTCCCCCAGCTCTATTAACGTATTTGGGTCCTTGGTTGGCCTCTTAAAGCTGGCCATACACCTGAGCAATCTGATTGGATGCAGGGTATTGTTCTGGTATTTTGAGAGCCAGCAGGGCCGACTAGTAAGATAACTGACGCTTGGCCCAGTGGGAGATTCCTCCATCCACACAGTTTAGCGTAGATGGAGGAATCTGTTGCACTTTTTCCATCTGACCATAGAAAATCTGCAGATAATCTAAAGGTGTATGGCGAGCTTAACACAACTATTGAGTTAATTTACTTACATCTTTGATGTTCCTCAATGATCATCTTCTTTCTAAGGCTGGGCACACACCTTACAACCATCGCAAGACTTTTGTCTTGCGATGGTTGTAAGGTACTTTAAAAAACGTACGATCTGCCTATGTTGCATAGGCAGAAAGTACTTTCGATGATCGCAAGCCACGCCCCGAGGGGCGGGCTTCCGATGACCGCAATGCCGAACGGGCAGTGTGCGCTTGCGCACACCGGCCCGTGCGGCTGTTATCGTACGGACATGCCACAAACCCGCCGAACATCGTACGATGCTCGACGGGTTTTCAAACATGTCCGTAAGTTTAAAGTCGTGCGACCTTACAGTAGTAGAGGTCGCACGGCTTCCACACACCTTACGATCATCGTACGATCGCGGGATTTCCCGCGATTATCGTACGATAATCGTAAGGTGTGTGGGGACCCTAACCCTTCTGCTGTGTTGCCAACTTATGAGACATATTCATGCTATCCTGTATCAATTCCTGTCTCGGGACAAGTCTTATTGTTACTCCTTTTGGACCATATTGATTTAGTTTATTTGGAATTATTGCTTTTTCTGTTTGTTTTTGTTTCTTGCAAAATCAATAAAAAATCTTAAAGAAAATAAATGTTATATTACAGGAAAGAAATTACAGTATTTATTTAAACCACACATCCTTATTGAAAGCCATCCTCCTTCACTGTGGTGTTCCAGAAGATAAGCTTATCCAAGTGTACACTATTCTTTATGATGCCATGGTAAGTGCTTACAAACCCTGTGATGCTCGGCTCAGAAACATTAAACTGTATTTACTAAACTAGAACAATGCCACAACTTTTATTTTCAGCAATGATGAGCAAAAGCTCAAAATGATCGTCGTGGCAAATAACACATGCCACATGTTCATGTTTATGAATTGAATTCTATTCTAACTTGTGCAGACAGGCAGTCATAAATAAATGACACATGTGGTCTGGTACTTCATAATCTTCACTCTTTTTTGGGGTCAACATTGTTAAACTGTTCACTTTATTTTACCCTAACATTGCATTTCTTTTCCCACTAGATTGAAAAACTTACTAAAAGAGAAGTGGAAGCCAAATTTTGTAACCTATCTCTTTCTCAGGACAATGTAAGTACATTTGAACGGAATGATGGTCTTAAAGTGTTTGTGAGGGGAAAGCAAACATGCAGTACATCTTTGCAATACAGTGATGTATTTTCTCATGATCATTCTTACCCCATAAAGGTGAAATCTTGCATGGCGCTCCAGACCGAGGGTGATTGATTTTTATTTTGTATTCCTTCCATTTGTGAATAATCGCTCCAACAGTTGTTTCCTTCTCACCAAGCTTCTTGCTGATCGTCTTGTAACCCATTCCAGCCTTGTGCAGGTCTGCAATCTTGTCCCTAATGTCCTTTGACAGCTCTTTGGTCTTGCCCATGGTGGTGAGGTTTGAATGGAAGAAAGAGATTCTGTGAACAGGTGTCTTTTATATACATAACGAATTGTCATTAGGAGCACCTTTTTAAATTGACAGGACTAATCTCTGTACCACATAGCCAGTCTGTGGGAGCCAATTTATAACATTTGTATCATGTGTTTTTTTCTGGATTTTTGGTTGATATTCCGTCCCATTTAAAATACACCTATGATAAAAAAATTATAGACCTTTCATTTCTTTGTAGTTGGGCAAACTTACAAAATCTGCAGGGGATCAAATAATTATTTGCCACACTGTATATGAACATTTACACATTTTACCCTGAATGACCCTGCAAATACAGAAAAATACTTGGAACATTCCAGTTCTGTAGTGCACTGACAATACAAAGCATTTTTTGTGGACTGAGTGGTTTCAGCCCTGGCCATTTGTCTTTTGCTGAACTACTCAAGCCCTCTCAAGGCCGTGACACACTGCACGCGAAGCCGTGCAGAGCGAAGCAAAGCTATCCGGCACGGAGCTTTGCGTGCAGTGTGTGAGCTGAGTGCAGTCAGATGATTGACAGCACCTTTAGCCAATCGGCTCGTCCGTAACAACCTGCCAGCTGTCGCATTGCGACGCGCTGGTTTATACGCGCGAGCCGATTGGCTGAAGTTGAAATTGTTCATCTCGGCACGCTCAGCTCTGCGAGCTCTCGCAAGCTGAGGTGCCGAGCAGAAAATGACATGACACACTGCTCGCAAAGGCAGCGCGCCCCCGCTCTGCGCTGCTTCACGTGCAGTGTGTCACGGCCTTAACTCTCCTCATCTCTACAACATAAACACTAATTTTCTGTTGTCTAAGATAAGACATAACAGGGCCAATTAGACTCCTTGGAAAAACACTTGTCCATCTTGTCTATCTTGTCTTGAATTGTATTGTAACTGTAATGTCTTATATTGTAATGCGCTGCGCAAACTGTTGGCGCTATATAAATACTATGTAATAATAATAACACAGAGAATGGAAACAGGACACCTCTGAATTTATAGCACAATCAATTCAGTGGCATTTTTTAAAGACCAAGACGTAGCAAACAAGAGAAGTTCATTATTAGGCTTTACATACACTTTAAATTGTAACTGTAGAATAGGCTGTAACACTTTACAGTAAGCAGCCGATAACAGTGCACAGTTAGCAGTGTGTTCACAGTTTGCAATTTAGGTTCATTCTCCTTGTTTAATGGTCTTTGCTGCGGTTGTAGATATTCTCAGCTAGCACAATGAAAGCCTCAGTATTTCAATACATTTTATTTTAGCTGCTAAACATTGGCTTGGTTGATATGAGTGCCAGAAATTTCAGCACAGCATTTTTCAGAGAAGATTATGGATGCATCATGCACTAAACACTTCTGCTCATTTTATAAACCACCTGCTCTTCTACAAACAATTTTGTGGACCCATCTTTGAGTCCGCTATATTAACCCTTACCTAACCTATTAACCTAACTCATATTCTCAGACAAACCAATAAACCAAACCAAGTGAGTCTAGCCAGTCTGTGTACATTTAAAATTGTACAATGTCTTAACATTAAGTAAATGAGCTTTAAAACAAGCCCCTGCTAACCTATGTAGCCGCAAGCACATTGGAGCAATTCATCCTCAAAGTTCAAAACAGAAGCAATGATGTAATCTCTCAGCTGCAAAAAGGAGGAATTGAAGGACTTCAGTATTTATCTTCTGAAATTTGAGATTGAATTGTCCCACATTGCCTGCAGCTAAGGAGGTCAATAATGGCTTGTTTTAAAAGCTAATTTTGTGATTGATAGGAGTATGCCAGTGCATGAATACCCATATTCTGGCCATAAGTTCACTTTAACTTCTAGCCAGTCTATAACCTAATAGTAATTAACATCAAATCAAGGCCAAACTTTCTATGCATAGAGGCCCTCAGTAGTCTGTGAGCAACGTCTGTACAAAGTGCATTAACTCGTTCAAAGGTAATCTGTTAACTTACTAGTTGGGAGATAGGGAATACTGCACTTTGCTCTACTTTTAATAATCATGCTTAAAGTGACATTAAACCCTCAGATTTTTTAACATAAACCAATACTGTAATGTGTGCCTTACTGTAATCCATGGTAGTTTCCCTTCTCTTTGCTGCTCTTTTAAATCCTCATGTCTTCTCATGCTTGGTGAGAACTTCCCTTTGCAGCTGAGTGCCTCTTCCTGTAGTGCTGGCTCAGGTTGCAAATGTACACACAGACACCATGTAGCCATTCCAGAGACCAGCCAGTCTGCTGCAAAACAGAAGTTCTGCCCAGCATGAGAACAGATACAGATTTAAAAGGAAGAGCAGCAGGAAGAGATTACAGTAAGGCACACATTACAGTATTGTTTTATGTTAAAAAAAATCTGAGGGTTTAATGTCACTTTAATGATTAAGTGCCTCGAACATGAATTGGATATACAGATGCAACCTTCCAGCAAGCGGAACCTTGCACTACAGCACTAAACAATATTGCTTGCTGCAAGCTTTATTTTAATGCAGAACAGCACAAAACATTTTCCAAGTTGGGGGTTTGTGTGTATATTGGGTTTTCTCTGCTGTACCGTACATTAAACGTAATTCACTTATTAGCTTCTTCTTCATCTGTGTGATTCCAACAGTGACTCTTGTCAGCAGCACCTCCTGGGCTTTATTTTACCATTTAGCACAGTTTGGTTGCAAGAACGCTATATTATTGATATACGAGTATTGACTTATGAATGTGTTTTCTGCGGCTGCCCTGTGGTTTATAACACAAGACCTATATTTTGGATATTTATTTATTTCAGTTCCAATTGAATAGACTTTATAAGTTTATTGAGCAGAAAGGAGAGCTCCATGAGCTGGAGGCAATGATGGCCTCTCTGACAAAGCAGAAATCAGGGGTTGGCATCCTGGCAAAGCAAGGCCTGAAAGACCTGGAGGAAATCATTGGACTAGTTAAGAGGCTGGGCATTAAGCTTCAGGTGAGAACCTGCTGAAACTGTGAAATATTTTACTTTCATGAGACATGAACCTGTACAGTACCATTACAGAAAAAATTTGATAGTGTCTTCTTATCACACCTTTCATTTTCTAATCAGTAGAGTAAGCAGGTTCTGTCACATTGAAGTTCTGTCATAGTCATGTCATAGTTCTGTCACATTGGAGCTAGGTGGGTCCTCAGCTGCATGCTCCAACTTGGTGTTTGCATTCTGGCATAAGCCCAGTGACAACTGGTTTTCTTTAAGAGCCCATTTACATTTGTGCTGTGTGTTATTGCACGTGCATTAATGTGTGTTACATCACACATTGATGCGCGTTGCATTAAGGCAGCCCATTAATGGGCTTCCGATGCACCAAAATGCCCCTAAGATCGGACAATCCACAATGTTTGCAAACGCACTATGTTGTGTTGCAGCCTGTTGTATCACAGGTGTTGGGTGCTATTCAAAATGATTAGCACTGCAATGTGTCAATGCATGTAATGTGATTTAGCGGTAATGCATGGATTTAAATTGGCCCTTAAGTGTATTTGGAGCCAAACATTTTTTTTATGGAGTATGGAAGGGTTAAAATCTCTATCCGGTTATTTTTTATGTCCTGATGGGAAGATTTTCCTTCACTTCCTGTCTTGAAGATGCAACAGGAAGTGAGAGGAAATCTCCCCAAATCAAGGTACTACCTTGATTTGGGTACTACCCCTCTTAAATAGCTGTTACCAGAACATTTGTCACCATTTAGAAGGTTTCTCATCTCCTCTTGTTGAGGCAAGTGTAAAATTTTAAATAACCCCTCATTTTCTGTCTTGGTGACAATGGTCATCAGAACAGAGTGAATCCACCTAGTGAGCAGGCCGCAAAAAAAAAAGTGAGAGGGTCTAATCCTTCTCTGCTCTGTCTATAACTAAATAAGTAAGTTGTGCCTTATATATTTATTTTCATATATTAGGTATGGGCAGGTTTGTGTTGATTCCTGATTGGCTGCAGCACATTATCTCTTATTGTAGCTTTTTATTACATGTGCTCATATTTTATAAATCCTAATTATTCTTCACTGAACCCCAGAATAGGAAATGTGCTGGGACATTATGGGCCACACACTATAGAGGAACTTTACACATATCTTCAAAATTACAAGAAAGGCACCGTTTAGAAATGTTTAGTAATGACAATCTACAACACATACTTATAGATAATTGCAGGCTTTTTATTCTTTGCATACCCTATTTTCTTTTCTTCCCCTGTCTTCTGACAGTGGCCATTTTAGCTAAGGGCAGAATAATATATCTATCTTTACTTCCTGGAACTCTGGCACAATTGACTAGGACATATGACCATGCACATCATCTCAGGTGAGGAAAATGCCTTTCCCTTAGATCTCATGAGAACATGGATGATATTTCCCAGCAATGCAATGCTGATGTAACCTTCCTAGGATGCAGCACTTTGGCACGCTTACATCAATTGTGCCAACGTGGACTATGAAGTAAAAAAAAGAAATTGTAAGTAAAATAAAAATGTTTCTTTAGCTAATGAATGCAAGATGATTTCATATCAGCATGCAGAGCTGTATGCTGATGTGATTTTTAGTCAAAGGGGGTAAAGGACCACTTTAAATATATGTAGTCTAGATGTCTTCTGAATAAACATTCCACTTCAAGCAATAGGTGGAGTGTCATAGCTGACCTCCATCTACAAATACTGGCTGGCTGTCTTTCTGATCCTTGGCTTCAGTCCTTTTGTAAGTCACTGACTCACATGATAGTTCTAGGTTAGTGACAAGGAAACATTTTGAGCAAAAGGATCCGCATGACAGCCAGGCAATGGCATCCTCCATTGGCCTTGCCAGGAAGGGGGTCTAAACACCTGGTCTTCAAGTGGTTAAAGAATGTGTGCTAGGAATGAAGCTTTAATGAGAAATTTGTCTCTTTTATTCAAACCCAGCCGAGTTCTGATATTTTCTAAATTTTATGTTGCTTTGGGCTCGTTCACACTTTGTCTGGTCATAAAACGCATACCCATTAATTCCTATTGTAAAAAATGAGGCTAGTTTACACTATTGCATTCAGTTCCAGAATGTTTAAAAAAAAAAGTAGTGTGTGCTCTATTTTTTCTGGTTTGGAATGCACCAGAACACATGCAAACACACCAGAATGCACTAGAAATCCAATTGAGAGGAAAGAAACTCACCGGAACACATAAAAAACCTGTTACAACTTGCGTGACCACGTTTGCAGAAAAACATCCAGACATGGTGTGAATGGGCCCTTTAAATATGAGAGAATTTATAGATTTTCATGGATGGATGTTGGGTGGGAAGCTGCTGGCAGGGCTATCCACTGAGTGAATTTTGCTCCGTTTATATCAAGCTTTATTGTGTTTTGATGTTTTAGGCTAGGTTCACACCAGATGACAGCTCACTTTTTTTGCGGGGCAGGAGGGGACGTGGTGTGCCATAGAAGTGAATGGCACTGTAGCCACACCCTCTGGCCACAATGCGATCGACCACAAATGCATTGTTTGATAAGAAAAGGCTACATTGACCTTCATTGCCTGCAGTTCAAATGCACCTCTATAAGACATGCTGCAACCAAAAAAACACAACTCAGTTCAAACATAGCTTCTGAACTACCATGTGTACAGCTCACTGGAGTTAATCTTCATGTAAAGGTATTTGCTTCACATTCAAAACACACTCTGCTTGTCCAATGTTTGTGTCTGTTTCTTTTAGATGGTGGTAAATTTCGGCCTGGTGTACAAGATGCAGCAGCACAATGGGATTGTGTTTCAATTTGTGGCATTCATCAAACGCCGACAGAGGACCATCCCTGAGATCCTGGCAGCTGGGGGGAGATATGACCATCTGGTACGTGTTGTGTAACAGAGTTGCGGGAGGACTGAGCTCACTGTACAGCTGGCCAGCAAATAATCCCTTGATTTAGTAATACAAATTATTGGTGAGATTTTTTCCAAGTTCCAATTGAGACTGAGGTAGCATAAAAACCTAGCAAAAATTCTAACTAGGGATGTACCGGTATTGGCGCAGATACTGGGCATTTTCACTCGTACTCTTACTCGTGAAAATGCCGTGCTACTAACCGCTGATACTGGCGCTTGTTTACAGCGTCGGTATGGCTGACCAGCTTCTCCTTCTCGCTACCTGCACAGCCATGGTGAGACCCGCAGGCAACCATGGTGAGCAACACATAGTATATAGTTTCATATTATTGGTCACTGCTGTATAATACTTTGCTGGGAATTGTAGTCCTTTTAACACTTGGAGTCAGTGGCAGCGGTTGCAGCTGTGTCCAGCACCTGGCGTTCCATCACTTCCCTAAAATCATTAGTCTGTATTGTACCGTTTCCCCGAAAATAAGACCTACCCCGAAAATAAGACGTAGTACTATTTTTGGGAATTGCTAAAATATAAAACCTACCCTGAAAATAAGACCTAGTTGTGACCATTCCCAAGGGCTGATGGTGGCATAAGGGGCTTTCTTCGGGACGCAGAAGCGATCTGGCGACAGGTAAGTCGCCAGGATCGCTTCTGTTGTAAAGCCGACAGTCGGCTCTACAAGTTTAAACAGACTCCCGGCGGCAAAAGTCGCCGGGAGTCTGTTTAAACAGCCCCGATGCTGGCGACGTACACTGTACGTCGTCAGTCACGAAGGGGTTAATTTCGGATTGTTTTTACATTAAAAAAAAATATAAGACCTACCCCCGAAAATAAGACCTAAAGTGTGCTTTTTTGAGCCAAAAAAAAATATAAGACAGTGTCTTATTTTCGGGGAAACACGGTATTAGAAAAACTGTCACATGACACTAAAAAAAAAAAAAAAGGTATTGGTAATTTGTATCGGCAAGTACTTGAGGAAAAGTACTCATACTCGGTCTTGGAAAAAATGGTATTGGTGCATCCCTAATTCTAACCCTTTCCCATTCCATTCACGACTTGAAAGAAACTAATCTATTTCTGAAAATGCTAGTTGCCTGGCTGTCATGCTGAACCCCTGTCTTTGATACTTTAAAGCTGGTCATGCACTGGTTGTGCTGTTACAACTGTTGTATGAAAATATGACACAATGCACAGTCATAGTTAATATTTATATTACTGTGAATTGAGACTTTACATTTCCTTAAGCCACTGTTCATTGGCACTAGTATAGTCGGTTTGTATAATGCCATCTTGTCATTTTGGTTATAGCACCATTCTTTTCTGTGTTCCCTCCCATTTTATGATGTATTTCCCTTCATCATTGTAAGTTTTCTCCTCAAAATGGCTGATGTCTCATGGCCACATGTTAATATGCTTGCATGTGGGAAAGCATTACCATTTTTCAATCATCTGCTATATCCTGTTGTCTGCTGTAACCTGCTGCATGCAGTAAAGATTTTCATGGATGAAAAGTATTTGGTGAGTTCCACTATCTGATAGACTGTCTGTGGTGACTGTATCTGCTTAAACAGGCCAGGCAGAGAGGTGTCAGCAAGGGATAAATTACTAACTCAACAGTTGGAGCCAGAATACTGTTTGAATTTCGTCCAAGTCCTGCTGACTCAGCTGAGATTTGATCAACATATGACCCTTCCCGATTCGACAGACGATTTTTTAACCAATCTTTGCCAAAAGGAACCAGTTTGAAAATTCACAGCCAAACATTACTGCTCAGGTATTATGGTAGCAGCATACCCGTCGCTGTCAAAATACAATAGTCCTGTGGTGGTTGAACGAGAAACAACAGCCAGTATATGGCCAGCTTATACTAAAATAAAGTGCCAAGCTATTAATCCTTGATGTGAAACTAAAGTATGACAATACAAATATAATAAAAAAAATTATATAAAATAAACTTTCACTGCAGTGCTCCAGAATATTTGCTTAGTTCTCGGTTTACACTGTTCTCATACTACCCCTTGCAATTCATTGTAGCACAGCGCAATAGGATAATACTTCATACAATTTAGATAAGTGCTGCCTCCAGTAATCAAGTTTGCTAAGCAGATATGGTGGAGCATTGCATTGAAAGTTTATTTAATCTATGTTTTGAATTACAAGCAATTCTTCTAATCCATATACACTCACTGGCCACTTTATTAGGTACATCTTGCTAGTACCGGGTTGGACCTCCTTTTGCCGCCAGAACTGCCTTAATTCTTCATGGCATAGATTCAACAAGGTGTTGGAAACATTCCTCAGAGATTTTGGTCCACATTGACATGATAGAATCACGCAGTTGCTGCAGATTTGTCGGCTGCACATCCATGATGCGAATCTCACGTTCCACCACATCCCAAAGGTGCTCTATTGGATTGAGATCTGCTGACTGTGGAGGCCATTGGAGTACATTGAACTCATTGTCATGTTCAAGAAACCAGTTTGAGATGATGTGGGTTTTGGTGACATGGTGCATTATCCTGCTGGAAGTAGCCATCAGAAGAAAATATCCCCTACACCACCACCAGCCTGAACCGTGGTCTTCTGCTGCTGTAGCCCATCTGATTCAAGGTTCGACGTGTTGTGCGTTCAGAGATGGTATTCTGCATACCTTGGTTGTAAGGAGTGGCTATTTGAGTTACTGTTGCCTTTCTATCATCACGAACCAGTCTGCCAATTCTACTCTGACATCAACAAGGCATTTTCTAACACACAACTACAGCTCACTGGATATTTTCTCTTTTTTGGACCATTCTCTGTAAACCCTAGAGATGGTTGTGCATGAAAATCCTAGTAGATCAGCAGTTTTTCGAATCCTTAGACTGGCACCAACAGCCATGCCATGTTCAAAGTCACTTAAAATCCCCTTTCTTCCCCATTCTGATGCTCTGTTTGAACTTTAGGAAGTCGACTTCACCACTTTTAGATGCCTAAATGCATTGAGTTGCTGCCATGTGATTGGCTGATTAGCAATTTGTGTTACCAAGCAATTGAACAGGTGTACCTAATAAAGTGGCGTGGTGTGTGTAATTCACAATTTTGTTCAAGTCCTATTGCTTGTGGAGCACTGGATGAACTGGTGAAAAGTTCACAGAAGGAGCTTATTGTTTAAGAACCACATTCGGGGAATCCCTCCCGGTACCTAAAAGGGATCTGCGCTTAGAGACCTATCTTCTAGGTCTCGGGGAGGTAAGCCATTTTACATACAGGCTGAGAACACGATACACCTGGGGAAGGTGGAGGAATCACGTATTTACTGTATTTGTGATACATCAGTGTTTTATTGGACTCGGGACTATTATAGATTGTGACACAAATGAACTGTGGACACGTTGAATATCTGAGCAATTCGTGTTGATTATGAAATAATTTTTGATAGAATTTTTTTGATTTATAATTATACGTGTTTTGTTACTTATATACTTTGTGTTCAATCTTGCGTGGGGGTAATTTGTTGTACATGAATTGTGGATACGTTGAGTACTGACTTATTCACGCTGCTGATGAAAATTGTGGTAGTCTCTGTCATGTATAACACATGCTAAGTTTTGATTTAGCACCACTGGATTTATGATTATATTTGTTTGTTTATATTTTTGTACTTTAGTTTCACATCAAGAATTAATAGATTGGCACTTTATTTTGGGATTTTACTTATTAATACGCTATATTAGTGTGGGTATTAGTACTTGGCAGCTTTATTTACTTTTGCACGGGAGTATATCACACTCATATGGCCAGCTTAAATGATATCTCTGTCCTGGAAGTTGCAGATAATGATTGCCGACTTTTCTGATCTGCATTCATGTCAGTGACTCAAGGTATTAAACCTCGAGGGTCAGCATAACAGCCAGGCATTTAGTATTCTCAAAAGGCGGTCTGCATTGGCACCCTGTATTTCTCTCAAAGCAGGTTTACTTTTTGCATGGAGATCAGCCAATTTTACATTCATCCTTGTTTTTATTGATAGGGGAGGGGTTAGAACCTTCATTTGATTTTTATTGCAGTTTGTTGCCCCAGTTTGAGAGGTTTACCCTCACTTAATTTCCTGATGTCAGCATTACAGGAAGTGAGAGAAAATCTAGCATGGTTTAAGACTAGAGTGATACAGACAGCAATACTATTTTCTCTTACATTCATTGAAGGACACCGCCGAATCTTCATATTACAGAAGGGTTATATGCCACTTGCAGTAGTAGGAAGCCAGGCAGACCAAAAAAAAACAACAAAGCATGCCCCTGCGGGTGGCTCAACCCCCCACTTGTTAGAGACAAGTTTGCCTAGCATCGAGGAGTAAGGACCTGCTCCCTGCTATGGATCCTAGTTCCTTTCTTTTTCTTTATTTTTTCCTTGATCTTCAATCAACAGCTTAGCTGGGTGACAGGCTAGATAATATAGATCCTTGTAGTCTCCCCAGCTCCTTTTTGGATCTGAGTGTTCCTCACGGGTGACGCATATGACTGACTGGGCACTGGGCTGGTTTGTCACAGTGTCCCCCCTGGCTATTAGCACCCCCACTTTGTTTTAGAGGCGATCTGATTTGAGAGAAGGTACCCTATCCTCTACCTTGAGTAATAAGTAGTGCGCTCTTCCCTGCTCAGGCTGCAGCCTTCTTCTCCCTTCTCGCTCGAGTACTGTGAGCTGACTGGATCGGTGCCTCTCCCTTGGGTTCCCTTCTACCATAACTGCAGCGGTCTTCTCCTGAGCTTTTACTTTACTTGCTGGGCTTTTCCATCCCCTCCCTCCTTGCGCAGTACGCAAGACCTGTGTGTACTGTGCATTATTAGAGGGCTACTAGTCCCAGCGTGCCGTTTTTTTCTGTATATTATACACTAGAGGACTTTAAGTCTCAGCATGCCCTGCACATACTGCATATTATGCACTAAAGGGCTACGAGTCCCAGAGTGGCCTGGGAATACTGTGTCTTTTGTACACCAGAGGGCTACAAGTCCCAGCATGACTTGTGTGTGTTGCATCTTATACGCTAGAGGACTACAAGTCCCAGCATGTCCTGTAATTACTGCATATTATACACTAGAGGGCTACTAGTCCCAGTGTGACCAGTGCATACAGTGTATTATACACTGGAGGACTACAAGTCTCGGCTTGTCCTGTACATGCTGCATATTATACACTAAGTCCCAGCGTAGCCTGTGCCTACTGTGTATTGTACACTAGAGGGCTACAAGTCCCAGCATGACCTTTGTGTGTTGCATTTTATACACTAGAGGACTAAAAGTCTCGGGGTGCCCTTTACATACTGCATATTATACTCTAGGGGATTACAAGTCCCAGCATGTCCTGTGCGTGCTGCATATTATATGCCCTACACATACGGTGTAATTTACACTAAAGGACTACATGTCCCAGCATGACCTGCTTACGTTGCAGATTGTACACATTCTATCTTCCTCCTGTATTTTCAGGGTCTGCTTTGCGGGTCCCCAGTCTGTTGCAATGTAGGTGTTTACCTCCATTTTGGTAGGGGTGTTCCTCATAGTATAGCCTTGACCTGCAATGGGGGTCTTTACCCTTATGAGGCTTTGTGTCTATTGTGAGGATTCTGTGGATGCTCTGTCGGATCCTCTGGTTCCTTTGGTGCGCACGGATCATGGCACTTGTTTACAGTGTCTTATTATCACTCCCTCATAGGGAATGGTAGTGTCTCGTGGGCTTGTCCTACCTAGGCGTGTTTTGTTTCGCTTCTTTTTAATGGAGGGTCCCCTAACGCAGCAGAATGCAGACATCTCCCCCAGTACCCGTCTGTGTCACGCCTGCACAAGGCTACGGTTATGGACGTGGTGCCTCCCTCTTTCGAGGAACCGATGGACAGAGTGAACTCCAGGTTTGGATTTATGTAAATCATCGCTGGAGCGTTCTTGGTTTCTTTGACACTCGCTGAGTTGACGAAGCTTTGCGCCAGGGTCTGGAAGGTGAACAGCTGTCTTCTGTTTTTTGGGAACTGCCTGCTCGCTTGATCCTCGGTCTCCTGTATGTGTGATGCTTTGCTGGATACTGGATCATTGTTGTCTCATTTATTGATTTAGTTGGTTGGATCCCCTAGCTCTCTCCTCCATGCTGGGAGGAGGGCACAGCAAGGAGTAGCCAGCCTTCTATTGCAATTTGAAATGGCCAATAGCAGGGTGGATATTGCACCAGCCCACTACCTGCTGTATTTTCAGCTGCCGTCTGCGGAATCTTGCCACTGCCAGCTGTCATTCCCTTGCTGAACCTATAAAAATGCCATGTGCTTACAATAATACTGTAAATATTAAAAATACATTATAAAAGGTGGGGGGGAATTATAAAAGGTGGGGAAAAAAATCATTTTCGGTTTTGGCCTGACTAATTCTGCTGCGGGAGGTGCGTTGCAGTGCCATTAATTTCAATGGCACCCCAAATGCACACCCACAGTGTGATCACCCACACTGCAATGCATGGTACCGAAATGCCGTGCGATTGCAAAAAATTGTGCATTTTTTTAAAATCTGATTTATCGAAAAAATAATCAGCCAATTAATCGATTATGAAAATAATCATTAGTTGCAGCCCTAGGGTCCTTCCTTATCTACTCATGAGTGTCTTGTTGTCTCCAAACGATACAAAGTCCATAAACCTTGCAGCACTCCTTACCATTATTGAGCAAGATGCAGGGGACCCTGCATGGCCCCCAAAAGCGCTCATCTTCATGACATCTATCAATAGTGGATTTGCACTGACATGAATCTTCGTGCTGGAGTGTTGATGACATCTGCATTTGTTGTTGTCTCCAAGACAAACCCTTCTTCACTAGTCCGCTTGAAGATTTACCCCAACCTCATTGCATGAGGGTGAGGAGCTGTCTTTGTTTGCGGATCCATAGTTGGCTCGCATTTCGGACTGTTGGTCTTACTGGGGCAACAGAGTATCTCGATCAGGCTTGTCTGGCCGACCTCATTTTCCAAGCACTGGTTGCCAATTTGCTGATTACCGTGCGCACCCTAGGTTTTTGCTGGGTCCTTGTCATCCAGGAATCTTTTTTGTGTCCTTTCTGGAGTCCCTGGGCCTACTCCTGGTTTCGAGTCATGCCAGGGTGTTTTTCCCTTGAAGGGATTCCGGTCACCATGGTGACACTGGATGTCATCCTCTGTATGCAGACCTGATGCACCTGGTTGCAGATGTTCCTTGGCAGCTACTGCTACGGCCAGATCTTCTGTTGCGAGGCAAAATTTTAATCCTTGCTGTCGCTGGCCTTTACGGTGTGGCTATTGCTATTCAGGTGGTGCAAGATAGGGGGCTGTGGGACTCTGTGGTATATTCTATGCCTAGGGCATGTGAGACTATTGCTCGTTTTTAGCATCCATTGACTCGCATTCCTTAGTTTGTACCATTTTGCAGCAGTCTCCCTTTGAGCGTGAGTTGTCCTTTTTGATCTTATCTCCGGCTTTGGCTTTTGGATGGCCATCACCTTGGTCCGGAGGGGTTCGCCATTGCATGGCTTGTTTTGTCTGCCTCTTTTTTGGCTTGCATAGGGGGAAGGTAGTTCTTAGACAGTGACCCTCTTTTTTTTTTTTTTGCCTAGGTGGTGTCTTTTTCCATCTCTCTGGGGGTATTGTCCTCCTTCCTTTTGTCTTCCACGGGCGGATCTCATGTGTTGGCCGTCCTTGCCTAGATGTGGCTAGAGCCGTTGGAGTTTCTCATCTTTGGGCTCTGTTTTGCAGGTTTGTTAGGCAGCCACCTGGTCAATGGTGAATGTCTTGCTTCTTTTTATATGGGATGTTGTTGCTTCTGCAGATTAAGGTTTTGGCTGCAAGGCTTTTGCTGGCGGAGGGTTAGTTGTGTGGGTGCCTCTTTTTCTTGTTCCGTTTGGTTTGCCATCCCTCATTTCTCACTGCTTTGGGACGTCCCTGTCCTTCAATGAACGTAAGAGAAAATAGTTTTTTTTTAACTCACCGTAAAATCCTTTTTTCTGAGTTCATTGAAGGAAGTTCATTGAAGGACACAGCTCCCTCCCCTCTGGAGTTGTCTGTGCCCTTTGTTTCTTCTCTACTGCTTTTTTAAATAACTGAGCTACCTCTAACAAGTGGGTGATTGAGCCACCAGCAGCGGCGACCCAAGGGCTATGCTATGTTGTTTTTTTGTCTGCCTAGCGTCCTACTCCTGCAAGTGGCATATATAACCCTTCTGTGAAATGAAGATTCGGAGGTGTCCTTCAATGAACTCAGAAAAAAGATTTTAGGTGAGTTTAAAAAATCCTATTTTTTCCATTACAAATCCTGATTTTTAAACCTTGCACTGTATTGTCATCTTTGATTGATGAATGCAGAATTTTGATCCAGCCTCACATGGTCCAGTTGTAGTAGATTTGCTAAATCAAGAAATTCATAGCTACTGTATGGCCAAAATTGAGCTGTGTTTGCTATTGCAATGTTGTGAGGTGTTAGTTATTTCAGCTTGTACAGTGACAATATAATGTCATCTTTTAGATTTCCCAGTTTCGAGGGCCTCAGACTGGATCTGCCATTCTACCCTGTGCTGTTGGCATTAGTATTGCTATAGACAAGATTTCCGCTGCTCTGTCCAATGCTGAGGAAAATGTAAGTCTTATTCTGATTTCCAATAATGTACTGGTTTCTATTTACGTTTTTTTTTTCTTTTTCTGTGAACTACTTACTTGCAAAAATATCCAAGGCATACAGGGACCATAAATAGTCAACCATGTGAACATGAAGCTGGGTTGCTCTATGAACACGTCCATTACCCACCAATTGTTTCCAGCACTCTATGTACAGTACACAAAAGCACAAAGCAAACCATTGATATGGCAGACTACAGCAGGGGTGCCCATAAGGTCGATCGCGATCTACCAGTCGATCGCAAAGCTTAACGATCGCGATCGGAAGTTATAGTTGGCTGCTCTGTTTATCTTGGAGCTCAGCTGCTGCTGGCTGGGTGCAGTTCTGAGACATGACCAGCAGGTCAAGCAAAACAAATGACAAACGCACTCAACAATTTGTCACCAGCTATACAGTAAGGTGCACACGAAATGGGCTTAGAACAGTAAAACAGTAGAAAGGTATCATGGCACACTCACAAACCAGCATGTAAAACAACTTGTCTCACCACTAAGGTTAATAACAGAGGTTTGGATACACGTCTTTTGCAGAAAATGTGAAAGCCGCACAGCCGCGCCAAGGCACCTCTTATAGTGCGGTCCTAACTCTAAACTATGAGAGTCTCCATCTTGGAGCACATGGGGGCAGAAGATTTCAAATTGGGTGCAGGTTTGTCAGGAGGAAGCCCAGCAGGTGGCGCTCTGTCCCAGCCAAGCTCCTGACACTGTAAGCCGTAGTTCACAGAGTACAGCATGCAGCTGCTCTACTCTGAGGAAGTCTGAGAGCTGGGGCCACGGACATCGGACAGTCCCTGGCCGGCTGAGTGATGTTCTTTCTCAGAGGGAGGGGACATTGTGTACCGCAGGAGATATATATATATATA